TAGAACACTTAGATTACGTTTGCTATTTAAGGAGGGATCTAGTCCATTAACATTGAAAGGGTATGTACACTCTGATTTCGCTGAGGATAAAGACCAAAGAAAGTCTACAACTGCATATTTCCTTACACTTGGTGACAATTGTATATCTTGGAAGTCACAACTTCAACCTGTTGTCACATTATCCAGTACAGATGCTGAATATGTGGCAATAGCTGAATTGGTAAAAGAATGTATCTAGTTAAAGGGAATTTTGGGATAATTGAGTTTTTTTACATGAGGCACCTACAATTTTCACTAATAGTCAAAGTGCTTTACTATTATACAAAAATCCTATGTATCATGAAAGATCCAAGCATATTGAGGTGAAGTATCATTTTATACGTGAGAAGCTTTCTCAAGGTGAAGTCGAACTTGTTAAGATTCACACTGATAGGAATCCCTCTGAAATGGGAACTAAAATTNTATTGAGGTGAAGTATCATTTTATACGTGAGAAAATTGTATGTGGTGAGATTATTCTTGAGAAATTTATACTGATGTAAATTCATCTGATATGGGAACAAAAATTCTACCTTTAAATAAGTTTAAAATTTGTTTATCTTTACTGGATATTGATACAAGTTAATCTTTTACAGGTATCCAGGCAATGATATTAGACCCTTCCATATAATTAGTGCACCATTTAAGCATACTCTAGGGAGTTTACATTTTTGGAACCAAGGTGAAGATCGAAAGTTAAAGTCGTGTTTCCAAAAATTGCAACTCTTTAAGTTGTATGTACATGTGACTGGTTTCTATTGGCTGAAGCATTTGTTCCCCGGATTGTGCTTCTTCACATGGGTTGTGAACCGTTCGATTTAACCAATGGCTATGATTCAATTGAGCCTTATTAATGTGTTTGGCTGTGACTCTTGGGTTTCATTATTGATTCTACGTCTGGTTTTTTCTGGGTGACAAGTGCTCTGGTTTTTTAGGTTTTCTCTGCGTGATTCTTTTTTTCTTCCATAGATTGAGTTATTCTTATATAATTTTGGAGCCCCTCTTTGTATATGATAACAGTGGCTTGAGTCTATATTTTTGGCTGGTTTGATTAGTGACTGTTCTTGTGAATTATGCGATAGGGTTTGGGTCTTTTTGTTGAAGTTCTAAGAGATCCCGTTCGATCTATGATTAGAATTTGTTAATGGTCTGATATTTAGTTTCACTTGTAAATATCCCTCTTGGAGGCTTTTCTTGGTGTACTAGTAGATTAGGCTGATAGCTGAACCCCCCAGATTAGGCATAGCCGAACTTGGTTAACATTTTGGTGTAATTTTCTTTTACTGCAGCGTGTGTTCTTGAGTGTAGTTAATTGTGTTTGTGTATGATCTGGGTGTTTTGAACCTAACACCTCCCTAGTAGAAATGAAATTTATCAGTGAGATACACTACACCTCTACACTAACATTTCGTTGAAACCATTAGCATCAATTTTGCCATGAGAATGGAAATCCACTTTCAAAATTTGAAATAATCGAAAATATGTAGCCTTCTTCATGTTTAAGTACTATTTTGGAAGAAACTAGAACGTAAACGACAAATGTCTCATTAGTTGTGCTATCGAAATAACGATGTCATGTTAATATGGAATCAAAATCTAAATATGAATAGTACATTTCAACCGTGTGTCTAAAATTCCTTGGGTTACTCTTTGCACTAATAGTTGTCAAATTCATAAGGTAGTGAAATTGGATCATCGAAATTCTCTTCTGGTAGGTTGGTGACATTATCAATTCCTCCATATTTTCTCTCTCATCTAGGGCCGGCCCTGGCCCAAGACGAGCAAGGCTACTTCCTTGGGCCTCATATTTTAAGGGGCCTCTTAAAAAAATCCCAAAAAACTGCCCCAATCAAAAACTCCTCAAATCCATTTTAAAAAAAAATTAATTGAGCAGAGAAGAAAAAAACAAACCACTTTTTTGTCCAATCATCGTCACCAAAAACTTCTCTCTATTCCCTACGTGATGATGGATGATTCATATTTTTCATTAAACCCTCGTTGAAATCTAAAGTACCCGTTATCTTTTTTCATTATCTTTTCATCAATCTCTTCTTGTGATTTGAATTCCCTTTAAAACGTGTTGAGCTTTTGAAATCTGAATTCGTTTTGCTTGAACATGAGGACTAAGGATTGAGGAAGCACAACTTAATT